CATCCAATCCCTTCACGCTGTGTGTAGTAAGTGTCCCTCATAAAAGTGAAAGGGCGAATGCGAACACCTGACGCTTACAGTTGAACTGGTGGACATGCAGATATATCTAGAGGAGCTGCAAATCCCTGATTCTAAACCTATGATGTACACGGGCCACAGAAAACGAAAGAATCGAATGGCTTGTGGACCAGTTTTGATCACCAATAACCATGGGAATGTAACTCCCGACGCTACTCCGTCTTGTGGGTCAAACAACCATCTGCTTCGATCTGGATGTTCAGGCAGTATCCAAGCCATCACACAAACTATGGATTTTTGCACAACGCATCTCTTGGTGTCCACAATGTACTGATTTGGTGTTTTAATTATATGCATATATATATACCCTCATTCTTTGTGATAATGGTTCTGATAGGAGTACAATAATTACTGGATTCAATGAAGTACATTCGGCTATGAAATTCACATGCGAAGAGGAATCCCAAGACAGAATCGCCTTCCTGGATGTCCTACTTACAAGAAAACCAGATGGTAGCATAAAAAGAAATTTAAATAGAAAAAGCACTTGGACAGGACAATATACACATTTTCACAGCTTCGTTCCTATCAAGTATAAAAGAAATTTAGTGAAGACCCTCAGCCACAGAGTTAGACCTATATGCTCAGAAGAAGTAATTGAAGATGAATTAAGCATTGTATATGATACTTTGATCGAAAATAGCTATCCGAACAAATTGGTCAAAAAACACATGACAAAGAAAGAGGAAAAGGAATACTCACTATCTGTAAACAAGAAGCCACTTTATATACGACTACAATTCAAGGGTGATATACCAAGCGGGATAATTACGAGGAAAATAAAAAAAATCAGTTCAAAGAACTTTTAATGCTGGCGAATTACACGTATTATTCTCTACACGACCGATGGTGCTACTCCGACTGAAAGATGAAGTACCTAGACTAGCTAGCCACTTCAAATTGTATCTACCAATTCAACTGCGCTTGTGGAGCGAGTTGTATTGGCCGTTCCTCTAGGGACTTGGTTTTTCGTGGTCGCTCGAGAACATCTCCCTGTATGGCTAAGTAAAGGTATAGTTAAAGCCATTAACAGTTCGATATTGGACCATGTGGTGCAAACCGACCGGCCACAAAGCCATCCAGCGTTGAAGAATCCTTCTATATCATCTACCTGGTGACTAATAAATTGCCAAAATCATCGAAGCACCGCATGCTCCAAACATCAGAGGCTATCGCAATTCGCCTCAAACAACCACTGCTCTGAGTTCAAAAGAAACACTTCCAGCCCCTACTACTGCCCTGACCGGCCTTCAGTAGAAACTATGAATTCATGAATTTGTAATATTATCTTTCCTAATTTTTCTGACATTCAGCTCATTTTATGTTAATGCTACTGAGCTGTAATCTATCAATATTACTGATTCGATTTTATTTGTTCATAACACTAATTCATTCATTCATTCATTCACTATAATGTATATATAACTGTAGAGCCTGATGATAAAGTTATCGAAAAGAGTACTCTTTGTTCAGTATCCATTCTTTTGAAAATTTTAATGTGCATTTTTAATCAGTTAATATATATATATATATATATATATATATATATATATATAAGAATGAAAATAATTTTAAATATAAATATAGGGGGTTGTCAAATCTATAACACCAAACAACCTCTTTCACAACAGACTTTATTACTAAGTAACATCAGATAGAGATCAGCATTGAGAGTAAAGGGACGCCTAACAGATGTTTGGTTGCACCCAGGGTTTCCTCGACGATGCACTCTCTTTCTCTTTCGTATGACCCTATTCATTATCAACAGAACCATGAGTTTTTTGGGTAACCAGTGAGTACGGTTATTGTTCAGCTAATGTCAGGCTTGAGTATGCTTTTTTCAGATGGTAAACGATACAAGTCACAACTTTTTTTAAATACAAGGTGAATTCTAAATTGCTGTTATTAACTAACAGCTGAGTGCAAAAAAAACCAAAAAAAAACTAAACGTACAAATCTAATGATATCACCTAAAACTGAATGACCTTATATGGTAAAAATATAGTCCATATCACATCAGTGTAATACACACTGACTGAAAAAGTTTGCATAAATAAATAGGTCACAGTATCATCTAACACAGGTCAACATTTGTGGTACCAGAACACAGTTAAGCAAAAAAAAATCATTTTAAATAATACATACACACACTACACCAGAATAAATTAGACAGTTCACGTAGAAATTAAGCTTTTGTTGTTCAGATAGGCAAAAGCCTACAACAGAAAAGCAATTCGAGAAAAAGAGAATGCGACAGCTTATATCGATATCGATAGAGAGAGAGAGAGAGAGAGAAGTGTTCATCCTCACATTAGCGTGCACACACACACACAACCACACAATACGGTAGGAGAGGGTGAAAATTCTAAGAATATAAGAGGAGAGTTTGATTACTGAATCTTTGTTCGTAGAATCTACACCCAACAAGTGCAATAGGAATGACTCATTAATTACACCGGAAATATGGAAAATACTACGAGTTTGCCTTGTAACCGGAAAGTCCTGGGTTCGAACCCTGTTGGTGCGTGCATACTGCCGATGATTGCCAAACTAGGATGAAACAGCTGGCTGTCCAGTAGTCCAGTACTAGTTTTCAATGGTTCTCTAACTGATATCATTCCGTGATCAACTCGTGAAAATACTTCTACCAATCAAGTCAAGTGATGAAGTTGAAAAGTTGTTTAAGCAACTTGATATAATAATGAGCAATGATAAATTGTTCTGGAAACGTCATCAGTAAATATTAATGTATAACACCAGTGTGAGACTTTATCAAAGTGAATTTCACCCACAATTCAATTATACTCTACTACAGTGCATAAGTTCTATTCTTATATCAACCATCCATTAGATATCCTGAGGATTTTGTTAGGTTTAAAGGAAAAGGATATATATATATATATATATATATATATATATATATATATATATATATATGCACCGAAATATTAAAACAAGATTAGAATTATAGGAAGTTTATTCTACAAGCATAGGCGTCTGTACTGCTCAGCAGTCTGTTCCGTCCTCCTTTATGGCTGGCTGTGGGTGATGCATGGCCATTGAGGGTGGAAGACATGAAAAGCCTGACTAGCTATCTTTGATCATAGGTGGCTGCGTTATATCTCCCGTGTGAAGTGGTATACTTGGGTAATTAATATTGAAGTTAGGCGTTGAATGCTAGGTCAGGTGGGAAGGTCAGTCGATGAGGTTGTGCAGTTACGTCGATTAAGAGAGATGGTTGGGACAGGTGTTACGTATGCCTAGCCACCCATCGCCTTCCTCGATGGGCAATGTTAGCTGACATAGGATGGGTCAGGTTGGAAAAAACTAGCTAGAGGCGGTCAAACAAAAACGTGGTACTAGTCAATGAAGTCCACAACAGTTAGTTTAAACTAGCCAGATACGTAGGGAAGTGTAGACTGCCTGTGTACCTGGTTGGTGTCCTTCGGATAGTAAGAATCAATAGAGACAATTGTTGAGACGTCTCGAAATCGTTCTCAATCGCTATCACAGATGCACTCACTCCTTGTGACTTATAATTTCCAATGAAACTATATTGTTCTTCGTTATTACTATTACTTTTGTCTCATATCCCTGTTTACTGTCGATATTTTGCATTTCTTCTACTTCCTCTTGCTTTGTGTGCTACATGGAGTGCGGCAAGTTGAACTGCTATGTTCAATGCTGAAAACAGACAGCACATACCAAGGTGTCAGAAATGTAGTCCAATAATTGAAATCTCTTTAAAGTGTATCATCTGACTGACTGGTTTCAACTTACAACTCTTCACAGGAGTGCACCAGCTCAGCTTTCAACCCCTCCATGAAGCACACAAAGGAACACAAAACAGACAAAATAGGTAGAAAATAAGAATAAGTAGAAACGTGATGGAGAGGGAGTAGTAACATGGAAAAAAATGACGGTTTAGTGGACATGAAAGATCGCAAAGGCTGAATGCATCTGAGCCAGACATTGGTTCTTACTATTCTGAGGATACCAACCAGGTAGTCCACATCTCTCCACGTGGCTGGCTTAAACTAAATGTTGTGGATCTGATTGACTGATGAAGCCATTTTTTGGTTTGACCACCACTGGCTCTTTTCCAATCGAATCCATCCTATGTCAGCTAACATTATCCATTAAGGAAGGCGAGGCATACATAACACATGTTACAACTATCTCAATCGACATAACTTCAAAACCTAGTCGATTGATTTCCATTCCTTACCTAGCACTCAACTGAGGTTTAACCTCAATATTAATTACCCAAGTAGACCACTTCACGAGGGAGATAAGACGCAGGCACCTATTTTCAAAGACAGCTAGCCTTCGCAAATCTTCCACTTTTAATGGCCACGTCTCATAGCCATAAAGGAGGTCAAAGCAAACTGCTGAGCAGTACACACGCCCTTTGGTAGAAATGTGGGGGGGGCGGGAGGGAATAGTAGCATGGGAAAACATGACGGTTTAATGGATATGGAAGATCACAAAGAGGGAGTCAGTCACTGAAAGCGATTGACTGCAGATAGTGATGTTTAGCATCCGAAAAACCCCAAAGCAGGGAGTCTACACCACCCTGTGTGGCTGGAGCAAACTAACTGTCAAAGATTTCATGGGGTTTTTTTTAAAGTTTTGGTTTGACCGCTACTAGCAGCTCTTTTCCAACCTGACCACCGTATATCACCTTACAAGTAGATCGCCACTAATGAACAACACCACCATAAAATTCTCGTGTGAAATGAAAACTGAGAATTAACAAAGAATTCACTTTAATCTATCTGGCTACGATGTTATGAATAAACTGTTATAACAAAAACGGAATGTGGCGACTTGAACTTCCGCACATTTGTGCAAAGTTCTATGTCGAAAACAGACAGACAGACAGTTATAACAAAAAATATGTGTATATTACAGGTGCTTACTTTTACATCCACATAGGAATTAGGACGAAGAGCACGAGTTTTATGTCCAGATGACATATCCATCCATGATCGAGAACCATAAATGAAAGTGACAGGAAGAGAAGCATCGAGTTGAGCAATTCTATCTAACATGGGTCGTTGAGGCCATCCAACAGAACTACACAATGATTTAAATCCCGCTTCTCCACTACAGTAAATAATAATAATAATAATAGAAATAATAAATAATAGCAGCAATAAAATTCTTTATTATCTAATGAATTAGAAATCTTGCTAGACAGTAACCTCCGGGTTCGTGAAAATTTGTATAATATAAACTGACTGACTAACTGATTTCAGTATAAAACTTTGCACCAGTTCGACTTGCCACACTCCTTCCATTTAGCATAGAAAGCAAGAGAGGAGAGTAAACAGAGATTCAAAAGAGAGAGAGAGAGAGATAATAGACAGAAGTGTGAGTGGGGGTGGGGGGAAGGGGGGGAAAGAACAGTAATATGGAGGAACACTAGAATTTTTATTGGATATTATAAGTCACAACCAATCTGGAAATCTTCGTCACTCAGCCAGCATCAACAACAAAATTCGCTCGGATTTTCAATACAAACGTCAAGTCAGTCAGTTCTTCTATATGGATCAGAAACTTGGCGGGAGGGTCACAAAGAATATTTCCAACAGCCTGTTGCAGACCTTTATCAGCCAACAACTGTCTTCGCTGGCTCTATACTGAAGATCAGATGGCCGGGCCGGGCCGGAAAGAATCACCAACAAGAAACTATGGCTGTGAACAAACAAAACAAGAACCAATAACCAACCAATAAATATGCAGGAGAAAGTGGATTGAGATGGATTGGACACTCGCTGAGGAGGCCACCGCTGAGTGACATCGCGGGCGTCAAGCCATCGCTCGAGTGGAACCAGGCCGAAAGGGAAGCGGCGAGTGGGATGTCAGTGCAAGGGTGACATGTAGGAGATCGTGTGAAGAGGAGTTGAAACAGTATGGACTAACATGGATGCAGGTGAAAAGTACAGCAGAAGGAAGACAGAAGGAAGTGGAGACGTGCAGTTGAAGACGTATGTTCCACTAGGAACCCAAGGGAATAATAATAAGTCACAAAGAGTGAGTGCATCTGCACCAGCCACTGAGAACGAGGATTTCGAGTCATATCACCAGTTATCTCCAGCCATTTTTACCATTCCGAGCCCCCCCACCACCACCACCACACCCAACCAGGAAATCTACACCTCTCAAATAGTTTCTGTATTGAACTGCTCTTATATGAACAGATTCTTATCTGAGGTTAACAACTAGTGCTCCCCCCCCTAAAAGGTCATAAACTGAATCCACCTAAATATATCGTATTGTTGATTTTAGTTTCAGGTGTGAAAAGTACTTGCGTGAACTGATTCAGCCCCATGGTTCCTGTAATACTGACGGCACTGTAATACGAAGTATATCAAATGTCACCTGTATTGGCGTCAGTTTCTGTTCAAATCTCTTTTGCTCGTCTAACATCCTGCTGATTTCTAAGAAGATTTCTCGTTGAGAGTCTCTGACATCATAACTCAACCTCTTCTCTTCCAATTTATTAATTCGTGTATTATTCGCATTCCTATCTATTGCTCCAAAACACTTATTCCTCTCTGGACTTCTTAAAAAGACTATATCATATAACGTAATTCATGCTTTTACAGCTACCAAATATATAAAGGAATTCTACCATACCACCATATTTAGCACGGGTTTTGTGTGAAGCTGTCAGATGTCAGAAAGAACTTGTAAACTTTATAAACCAGAAAAGTATAAGCAAAGGTTATCATTACATGTATTATCTGTGATATTATCTATTTATAATTCATTATATTCCCGCCAACCTTTAGTTTTTTGCGAGTGTAGTACTATTGCTTGTATAATTTTAATGCATCTACATATTTATAAAAAGATATTAATTGTTGCAATCTGATTCCCAGACATTATCTAACATCCTAGTTAACTCAAGCGAGAGTTCATTACTGTTCTCCACAAGCGTCTCTGGAGTCATTCCATCAGGTTGGGTTGCTGCCCCTCGTTTCATATTAGAAACGGCTTTTGCAGCTTCACTTACAGTTGAAGGACTGATGTTAACATCTCACATAGGTAGATGCTGGATACTGGGCAAATAGGCATAGCTGTAGACCACCAGTTAAATAGCCCTTCAGAATGCCCCCTCCAACGTTTTACTCGTTTATCCTAGGATGTAATTAAGACGCTGTTTTTCTCGAAGGTTGTTTCGTTTATCATTCATCCTTTACAACCTGGTTTCTTTGTCAAAGATTCTAACAGACTTCGCTTTTCATAAGCAAAGTGATATTTGATGGAGAGCTCTTCCATTCTCAATGAGCTGTTCACATACTATTTGTTGTAAAGTCTCAATTTCCAAAAACATTATCTGCTACAACTTTTCTGAATGAGTACGTTTAAAAGAAATAGATAATCTCCGGTATGTGGCTTCAGCCTAAATGAAGTAATGTAGGTCTGCTTAATACTTTCGAAGTGTTACTACCAGAATAGGTAATTTTGTCATTTTTGAATAAAGCAAGAACAAAAGTGGTTTGTGCGGAATAATACGGTTGCATCACTGTTTATTTCGTCGACTTCTCATCAGCACTGCGTACAGCGTAAAGTATATACTAGGTTTATGTAAAGAACAGTGCGTCGGTGGCACAGAGGTAGAATGCTCGCCAACCACGCCTCATGTGGTTCGGGGTTCGATCCCCAGCCACCGACGCACTCCTTTACCTCGCTTAGCCAGGAATAAGACTGGTAAAGAGGAAAGGTCGGGAATGAGACCAGTAACCCCATCACGTAAACAATAAACACCACTGCTACAGAAACTTCAGGCCTCTAGCTTGAAGAGCCCTATGTCCCACTGGGAGCGTAAAGGAATAAAAAGCAACATTCTATATATACTGAAAAGTCGATCATTATAGGCCACAGAGATTTAACTGATAAGGCGTTGGTCAAGATTCCTTTGTAAACCTTTTCTATTCTTTAAGAATATACTCTATATAAAATCTGTTTAATTTTTACTTAAACGTGACTAACGCAGAGAGGTAGATAGATAGATACCTTCTGACTAGATTAAACACAATTCCAAAACAGACGATATAATTTGTGGCATGGGGAAAGAAAGCATAGTCTTCTTAGGACTGTAAACACACACATGCCTACTTATATCTGTAAGTGCCTTTTTTTTCTAAAAATGAGTTTGATGAAACCAGTTTCTATTCTGTTTTGTTGAACATATATATATATATATATATATATGTTTTAAGGACTTAATGAAAAGGTATCACTTGATTTAAAATAACAACTAATCAATTAAGAAAAACTATAAGAATGTAACGTGCTCTCTACTACAGTGATGTTCATTATTCATTTCGCCTTTGGTGATAGTTAAGTGTTTGAAATAGCCAATCAAAGTGCTTGTATAAAGCAGCCAACTTTGTCTACAGCACAGAACATATTTGTTGAAAAAAAAAGAAATGTGAATTAAATTCGTCTAATTGTCTGTTAAAGCCTTAATAGGCTGAGACTGTTGAGAAGACTTCAGCATGGATACTGAATGAGTGAATTCCAAGCATAGACTATATGTATACCACTTGGGTACTCTGGTAGTAAGTAATTCCATATTAGTTTGTTTATTAGATATATTACACAGTCAGTGAAACAGTATTGTTATTTACTGGATGACAATGTTTCGAACAAAATTTATTGCTGTTCATAATCATATCAATTATCACCATACGACTTCACAACTAGAGGTTTATAGTTTTCTTTGTTCTCTCTTATTTGTCGTCGTTGGGGTAGTAGAATTTACCAGATATCCGGATGGACAGGTGATGAATCATTCCTATTACATGTATTTGTAGATGATGCATTCACTGTACTTAGAACACAGAATGAAAATAGATTTTTCGAACACATCAACTCGAAGGTGGAGGCGATTCAATTCACTTATGAATTGGAAAGTCAGGAAGGAAAGCTTCCAATGTTAGATTGTAGCTCGTAAAAAGGAAAGAAGATGGGAAGTTAAACACTAGTGTTTACAGAAAACCCATACATTCAAACAGATATTTGGATTTCCGATCATCTCATCCTATGTCAGTAAAAATAGGATTGGTGAAATGTTCAAACGACAACGGGGCACAAAAACTAAGTAGTACCAAGGAAAATCTACGACAGGAAGTGACACATGAGAAAAGCTTTGAAATTTAATAATTACCCTGATAAATCAATCAGGAAGTAGTGTAGGGAATTGTAAAAATAAAGTAAATACTGGTAGTAGTGATAATAACAATAATAATAGTAGTAATAATAGTGATATTAATGACGACATGCATGTCAAACATGCACAGAATAATGACAACGCTAACAATAAGGAATCTAAATCATCAGTAGTAATTCCATACGAGGAAGGAAACTCGAAAACCTTACGCAGAATTCTCAACAAAGTGAGAATAAAAGTGGCTGGCATTCAAACCACCCACAAACTCAATTAGAAAGAAGCTTTTTCGGTTAAAGGATCAATCCTGTGGAGCCTTAAAAAATAAAACAATTTAGTTTATCTAATACCCTGCTGGAATGATTGTCAGGTCAAATACATAGGTCAAACTAGTAGAACAGGGGCAGTCAGACTAGCTGAACATAAAATCTCAGCAAAATCTAGATTGGTTGACCCAAATAAGATAAGAAATCTAGAGAATAGTTCAACTGTAGATAGCACTCACTACATGCAATTACACACAACCATACAATAGGATGGATGGGATAAAATGGCAGTTTTAAAATCTAATGTAACAGGGTGGAGGGAGAGATTGATAACAGAAGTTTTGTTTAGCGAATCAACTGAGAGAGAATACGTGTAAGAGGAATGATTCAACACTTGTCCCAGATATCTAGAAAATTCTGCTACCCCTACGACAATTAGGAGAGGATTAAGAAAACTATAAGACTCGAGTTTTGAAATCGTGTGATTATAATTGATATGATTATGAACCACAATAAATTGTATTTGAAAAGTCATCCAGTAAATAATACTGTTTCACTCACTGTGTGATACATCTAATACCCAAGCATAGAACTTTGTACTGGAATGGAGAAGTCCAAGTTACCGGACTCTAGAGAGAAACAATATTCAAGAGAACTAT